ATACACAAAAGAGTGATAATCAGGTCAACAAAAACTTAGGTATAAAAAAAAAAAAAAAACTGCTGGTATCGGATCGGTATTGTCCGATACTCAGAACTTTTGGTATCGGATCGGGATCGTTTCTGAAAAAATTGTATTGTGCCACCCCTAATAAAATATTGCAAAATCAAGACTAATCTAATCAACTTTCTGAGCTTGACATTTCAGACATATCTGGAATTGTGGACTAATATTGATTTATTGAACATGTAAATAAAAATGACACTAGGCAAGGAGTAATAAGTAAATGGAAAATCTAACAATTGTTAACTAACAATTATGATATTTTATATATAAATAAATGTATCTAAACAGTCATGCTGTTGCAAAAATACACCTTTTAATTATAAAAGGACACTAGAGCATATTGTCTAGCAGGTTTATTTAGCAGAGGTCTGACAGGTGTTATAACACTTAAAAATGAATAGGCAGCACTTCAATGGATGTGGTTGGTTGGGTACAACTATAAAACCTAAAAAAAAATTAAATTTTATTTTGAATACATAGACAACAAATGAAAACATGAAATGGCAGCACATATATTGTAAATGAATGTAACATAGAGATTCAATCTCACTTTGTCATCACAGATAAAGTGTCATTTGTGTTGTATAAAATGACCAGAAACTTTATCAGTTCTTATGACATAAAATAAGAGCAGGACTACAGTGTGTATATAAGTTAATAATAACCTGCCATCAAAAGGTAGTTTATACTACAGTAACTCCTTTTACACATTCTACTAAGCATTGTGATGCTTTCATCGTTTTTTTTCTTTCTTAAATTACAGATGCACAGCAAATAAAATACTATTTGTCCAGTCTGATCCATAAAGCATAACTATCACACAAAGCACTTGGATTAAAAGTTTGTGATGTGATTTATCATGCTGATAAACACTTAAAGCTCCTTTCTTGAAATAAGAAATTAAATGAATATTGTTTTATTTACAGACAGATTGAGTTCTTTTTTCATTCTGTGCATGTTCAGTGAGAAGCAGACTTGCATATAAGAGCACTTGGACGAAGAGAGGTTCACAGAAGTACACAGATTTAGGAAAGACTATCGCGTGTGTGCAATATTTGAAGTTGCTGAAACTGGACAGTCGACAGTGTAAAAGGACTGACAGTGCATTTGTTAGGATGAATGGTTGGAGCATTATACAGCAAGTACAGTGCCTTCAGAAAGGTTTCAGCTTCAACCTATAATTTCCGATTATGCTGTTTTGCAAAGCCAGTTCAAAATATTTCAATGTTGAAGTCTTTATAAGGCTCTGTTCTGTAAATTAAAATTTATTCAAAGAGTCACATTTAAACTGAAAATTTAAATCTTACACTAAAAATGAAAATTAAAAATGACTTTAACATAATTGGTTGAAGTATTAAAATACTCTCTACTGGAACTGCAGGGTAAAGGCCCATTCACACAGAGAACAGTAAGATAAGAATAAGGACAACTATAATCATAACTGTATTAGCAACCACACCAACGGACAGCAACGTTCTGTTTATTATAAGTGTGCGCTGAAGTTATGTCAGCTTCCACTTTAAATGCTCAAGTCAGGCAGATTCTGATTGGCGTTCATCAGTTGGAAAAAATTGTTTTGATAATGATTCTAATTATATAGTTCCTCTGTGATGTTATCATTATAGCTGTGGAGTGATAACCCAATTCTCATAAAATTAGAATGATGATTAAAACTTTATAATTACAGTTATCACCCTTGGTGTGAACATCCCTGAATGGTGATAAATTTGATCTTACTGTACTACGATGACGCTAGAATAACATGGAGGGCAGGGCATAGGGCGGACTGTGGTGAGTGAATGAAGATTTAGCTTTACTATAGAGAACATGCAGATATTTAAAATGTAGTGATGGAGGGGGGGCTGAGTTGACATCAAATACAGAAGAGGCACAAGTGCTTAGAGTAGGTACATCAAGGGCGATACTAAAGCTCACAACAGTCATCCTATTAGATTTGAGTTACAAATACTTTCTTGCTTTTAATTTCTTGGAAAGTGACTAGATTATGATGAACAATAAATTCCAATCCCATTGGAAGCTTGGATCTTGCTGTATAAGTTCCTTTTTGATTGGCTAGTAGTTGAAGTGGGAGTGGAAGAAAAAATCCAGTATGTTCTAAAGTGCTTGAAGGTTCACATACTATGATTTCATGCAGCATGTTCCAAAAGGAAGGAACAACAACGACACATGACGTATGATGCTGACCATGGAAGGACGCTCTCCATCTTCAGCCGTGGTAAAGACGGACGCGCTGAGATATAGAGCCACGGCACAGAGGGCAGGACTGCAGGGCATTGCTGCAAGTCTGACAACAGCATACATGCCCACACGGCAGGAAGATCACCTGTGACTGTGACACAAAACAGAACAGGAGAGGAAATTATGGTTTCTTTCAAAGCTGCTGAAAGCAAAACTCTTACATTGTTACGAAGAATTTCTATTTCAAACAAACGTTCTTTTAAAAATGTTTTCAAATTGAATTGAGAATTGTAATAATCTTTTGCCTTACCTCATGTTCCATGCACACCACACACTCGGAACTGCTGAATCTATCAGGACTTGGGGCAGTGGGGGTGAGGGGGGTGTTGGGTGTCAGTGGAGGAGTGAGCTGCTGTTGAAGTGGGGCACTTGGAGTGGATGGACCAGCTTCCTGCTTCTCTTTTGCAGTTTTAGGAAATGCTGAAGGGACAAACATGTTTTGATACCCTCAATCACAACTTAAAACAACACTGAGCAGAATTCACAAATGTCTACTAATTATGTCCTTGACTGAAAATATATGCTCTTACGGTCAGACAGAGTGCGTTCTCTGGCCCAGTGGAGAAGAGCTTTCTGCACGCCAACCTCATTAATCCCCAACTGTAATAAAACAGAAACGATTTTAATGGACATAAACCTGTGATGACAAATTCTTAGAGACACACTTAAATACTACTATAAAACTTCTCTGTGGTAAAACACAGAAGGAATGGTGACAGACCTTCCTAAGGTCTTTGGTGGTCATGTGTCGCAAGGCCTCAGCAGTGATTCTGTGGTGAGCTATGACTGGCAGGTAGTGCTGAGCAGAGAGTTTACACAGCAGATTCCCCAGATCCCCATCCACAGCTGCCTCCTGTGGAGAAAAGAGAGGTCAGCAGAGTGTCTGATTTTGTGATTTAAACCCAGGATCTTTAGGCCTGTAGGAAAGCTGCTCTAACCTGCATCCGCAGAGACAGAGGTTTGGCATCCAGGAGCCTCTGATATTGGATCATCCAGTAGTTCTGCTGATTGGATTCACTTTTCTGGTCCATCTCCACCTGAAGAGCAAAAAAACAAAAAATCCTCAGCACCATAGCTTACAAATTACAAGAATCATACATAAGCATCTGTAGTTTTTATCAAATTCGAAAATGATCAAATTCAATACTATGTTGCTTGCTTGTTTACTTAGTGGAGACTACCATGCCAGAATTTGACGTAATTTTTTCCACATCAGTGAGGTATAATGCAGGGTTTTTCAAACTGTTTTTTTTAAAGGCTGCTAGATTTAATGTGTATTTTTCAGATAATAATATGTCCAACGAATTACAGAAATTAAGAAGCAAAACACAATGCATGGCAATAAAATAAAATGAGAACAGAATTAAATAAATAAATGTGTTTAAGTGAGGTGGATGGATTATCTCGGCAAAGGAAAAGTGCTCACTAACACAGATTTAGACAGATTTGTGAACAATATTTGAGAGAAATAGGCCTTTTGTGTACATAGAAAAAGTCTTAGATCTTTGAGTTCAGCTCATGAAAAACGGGGGCAAAAAAAAAGTGTTGCGTTTATAATTTTGTTCAGTGTATATAAAGTAATTTTACTCTTTTAAAAGGCTAAATAACATGTATTCTTCTGATATTAAAGGGGTCATGTGATGCGTTTTCATGTTTTCCTTTTTCTTTAGTGTGTTTTGTAGATGTTTGTGCATGTATAAAATCTGCAAAGTTACAAAGCTTAAAGTCTCCCACAAAAGGAATTTTTCTATCTAAAAGAGAAGGCTGATCCAGACCAGGCCGAAAACACCTCGATTTAATTCTCCCTCACATATCAACGTCACTATGTGGAAATATTTGCATAATGCCACCCAAATGGATACGCAACGAATGAAGGCGTGGTTTGAGGTATCGCAGTAGTGTTGTTGCCGCCATGTTGTGGAGATGCTTTTTGTTTCTATGCGACAGCAAAAACACTTTTTTTTGGCCTTTTGAAAGTGGATGCAATTAGGAGTCAGTGGTTAACATTTATTTACAACACTGTTCCAGAACAGTACAACCCAAAATATTCGAGTGTGTGCAGCAAAGTTTCCTGAACCTAGGAGAGTACAAGGCCAGCTGGGCAGAAAGGCTCTTTCTAAAAAAATGGGGCAATTCCAACTTTGCTAGGACAATCTGGAGCTTCTGAATCAGAGCCCGTAAGTATGTTTTATAATTTGCTATTGACTGTTCAAATGCGGAGTTTGGTGAAGTGTAGAGTAACACATTATTTGTCGTTCCTACGACCACAAGTGCAGACAGAGATGGATTTATGTTTACAAACGTAGTATCCTCTGTTCTCTGCTTATAACTGGTGGTGAAAAAATGACAAACATGATTCACTACGTGTTCTGCTTCACACTGGACGCTCAAGTAGCAAATCAGAGCACACTGCGCTTTTCAAAGGAGAGGCTTTGTAGAAATCAACGCGTTTTAGAAAGACTGTGCATAGAGGATCTGCAATAATGAACAGTACGTGAAAATGAATGCATTTTTTGAACATTAAAGCATGCTAACACCCAATACACAACATAATGAGCTTTGAAAATAGCATCATATGACCCCTTTAATATGTGCATTATGATGATATTTTTCCATTCACATTTACACCAAATTTAAAATGATAATTTCAGACAATATCTACGTGACCTAAATGTGATTTTTCCAACAATGACTGAAGCATGTGAAATGTTTCAGTGAACTGATCCAATTTCCTGTGACTCTTTTGAGAAATCAAGGAAGTTGGTCCAGAATCACTCACCAAAACCATCCTGAGCTCCTCCTCCCTTTGGTCCTTTTGCTTGAGTAACTGCTGCAGCAGGTCAGTCAGAACAGTCCTCTGGTCAGCCAGCACCTCCTATCACACACACACGAAGGATTCATACTCCCAGAATGCTATGATAACTCACAGAGGTGGTGTGAGCATGATATATAAAACAGAAATGGGATGAAATGACCAAGTAATCTGAGAGAGAAAGAGAGATGTAAAAACAAGCAAGAGAAGTGATGTGCGATGACAGACTCATCATTACTCTGCTCTACACTCCACAGCATGATGAAGCACTGACAGGAAACCACCCACATCATCTACTGCTGCTACGTACCTGCAGGTTCTCAGTGTCCAAATTCCTCCTCTTAACCTCCAGCTTTGTCAGCTGCATTAACTCTGCCTCTATGAGTTTAATCTATGGATACAAGCATACAGTAGGGGTGTGAATGGCCCCATGGAGACATGATAAAACAGCCACCTTTTGGGTTCTGCATCCAATGAGAGGTGGGATGTGAGAAGCATGGGCTGACTGAAACCAAAAAAAGCTTTTAATGACTAGAATGACTACACAAGACCATCTGAAACATTGCTTACTCTAACCGACTACAAAATACCCACTGAATAGCTTTGTTAATGATTATACTACCAAGTTTGGGGCCAATAACTATTTTTTAAGAAATTAATACATTTATTCAGCAAGGACACTTCAAATGTATCAAAATTTACCGTAACATTTACATTTAGAACATTACAAATATTTTTTATTTCAAATAAATGTTTTTCTTTACAACAAAAATAAGAAGCATCACAATTTTCAACATTGATAATAGGAAATGTTTCTTGAGCACCAAATCAGCATATTAGAATGATTTCTTATGGACCATGTAACACAGAAGCCTGGAGTAATGGCTGCGGAAAATTCTTTGTAACACAGAAATAAATGACATTTTTAAATACATTAAAACAGCAAACAGTTATTTTAAACTGTATTACTATTTTACAGCATTTTAATCAAATAAATGCAGCCTTAGTGAGCATAAGAGATTTCTTAAAAAAACATTCACTCCAAACTTCTGAATGGTAGTATATATGTTAATAAATGACAGTGCTGATAAAGTTGAAACTCCTTCAATCAACCAGTAGTATGATATAAATCACTGTATCTGTGGGGTCTTATTGCCTATTCTATCCTAAAGGAAACTTTAATAAGCATACCTGATTACGGATATAAGCATGCACACTGTCCTTCTGGAGTTGGAGGGCTTCAAAGGCGGCCTTCTGCATTTCCTCCTGCAGACAAAGAGCCAATTAGGGTTAATCATTCTAGACGTACTAGACCAACAATGCACCAGCTGTATCTGCTGTAGTTCATTAATGTATTTTGCCTGTGGAGTGAATGGACAGATGGAGTGCAAACTAGTTCCCTTTCGAGCAGCAGTTCCGGTCCGGTTCCCCTGCCGCCATCCGGCGACTTCTAAAAGAGCATCGGCGTTGTTGCAAATGCCGCGTCGTTATTGCGGTTCCCCCCTGCACGCCGATGACGGCCACATGGAGTGCGTTTCCTGCTTGGGGAAATCCAATGAGGAAGCTGCGCTCACGGGAGCTAATTGCTCTCATTGCGAGAGCTTCAGTCTCGCCTCTCTCCGCTCATGGATCGCTTTCTTTTCAGAGAGCGACTCCTCCCCCCGCGCCCTCCTGTTTCTTTCCTCCCAGGGACCTGTGAGGAAAAAAACAGCGGGGCAAAGGGGTCGAGCGATCGGCTACGAGCGAGCTCACGCGTGCTACAGTTGGGTCTGCTGTGTATGCGCCCCCTTCAGCGCTGGTTGAAACCACGGGTTCCATCCCATGCGTGGCGTCACGGACGCCTGCATATCAGGGTGAGTCAGGCCTGTGTATCGGCCCTGACCCCCTGGAAGAACCCGTTGGATGGAACAGGGCGTGGCCATGGGGATGGTTCACAGAAGGACAGTTGTCACGACAGATGCCTCCAACTCAGGTTGGGGGGCGCTGTGCGAGGGCATACCGACCTTCGAACACTGTTCGAAGGCGGAAAAAGGCTTCCACATCAACTGCCTGGTAATGCTAGCAGTATGTCGAGCCTGTCAGTTCTTACTGCCAGTCCTGAAAGGGCACCATGTGCTAATCCGATTGGACAACATGTCGGTTGTGTCCTACATAAATCGCCAGGGAGGCCTCTCTTCAAAGCGCCTCTTCATGCTGGTGGAGCGCTTCTTAGTGGGCTCAACCCAACCTGCGCTCGCTAAAGGCAGCGCATATACCGGGCAAATTGAACCGAGGAGCGGACATGTTATCAAGGAGCAATGTCCCCTCAGGAGAGTGGACGCTCCATCCGCAAACGGTTCAGAAAATCTGGGAGATCTTCGGCGAGGCCGAGGTAGACCTCTTCGCCTCAGAAGACAACTCTCACTGCCAAATTTATTTCTCAAAGACCAAGGACGCGTTGGCCCACGATTGGCCCAACCTCCTTCTTTACGCATTCCCCCCGATCGCTCTGATCCCACAGGTAATCAGGCGAGTGAGGGAACAAAAACACAGGGTTCTCCTGGTAGCCCCCCTGTGGATGAACCAGCTGTGGCTATCAGAGCTGACTCAGCTACTGATAGCGGCCCCTTGGCCTGTTCCACTGAGAAAGGATCTCCTCTCTCAAGCGAACGGGACATTATGGCATCCTCGGCCCGACCTATGGGCCCTGCACCTCTGGCCGCTCAACGGGAGCCTTCGTGCCTCCCAGAGCGAGTCTTAAACACAATTTCGGAGGCTAGAGCTCCGTCTACGAGACGCCTCTATGCCTTAAAGTGGTCTTTTTTCTCCGCCTGGTGTTTAAACCGCGGCAAAGACCCTCTCACTTCCGAATTAGCAGAGGTGCTGTCTTTTCTACAAGAGCTGCTGGATAAGGGGCGTTCCCCATCCACGCTCAAAGTCTATGTGGCGGCTATAGCGGCCTCTCATGTCCCTATTGAGGGCCAATCAGTGGGCAAAAATAGCGCGGTCATCCGCTTCCTGAAGGGTGCAAGGAGGCTGAATCCGCTGAATCTCGTCCCCCTACCGTCCCTTCATGGGACCTGCCCACTGTGCTGAGGACCCTGAAAGGCCCCGCATTCGAGCCGCTACAGTCCGCCAACATTAGGTCGCTATCGCTGAAGGCTGCTCTGCTTCTAGCACTAGCATCAGTAAAGCGAGGGACCTGCATGCAGGCGCTCTCAATTAACCCTGCCTGTCTGGAATTTGGGCCTAACGACTCTAAAGTCGTCCTGAAACCGAGGCACGGTTACGTACCTAAAGTGCTCTCCACTCCGTTCAGAGCACAGGTCATTACGCTCTCCGCGCTTCCTCCAACTAAAGAGGACAGAGAGCTATCTCTGCTCTGCCCCGTCAGAGTGTTGAGAATATATATTGAGCGTTCCGCTCCCTATAGGCGATCGGAATAAAAAACAAAAAACAAAAAAAAAAAAACACATTCATAACTGTTTCTCTACTCAAATAGAAAAAGCATCAAGGTAAGTCCCAGATTTCACCATTTTGTTTGTAACATCTATATACACTACAGTTCAAATGTTTGGGGTCAGTAATATTTTTTATCAAATGATTATTACTATTACTTTTTCTTTTCTTTTATTATTATTATATTATTACTTTTTCAGCTAGGATGCATTACATAGTTCAAAAGTGACAGTAAAGACATTTACTATGTTACAAAAAATCAATTTAAAATAATTTCATAATACTTCTGTATTTTTGATCAAATAATGTGGCTTTGGTGAACGTAAGAGACTTCTTTCAAAAATATTTAAAAAATCTTAACAACCCCAAACTTCTGAACGGTAGTGTATATCTTACAAACAACTAACACTCCACTGCAGTGTTTGTGAAACCACAACTTAAAGTAGCACTCCAGGTCTTTCTGACATCTCCAAAAATACCTGAATGTAACAGTAAACATTGAACTTTAATGGGCCAAAAGCTCTGTGTGCTGTAGCAGCACCACAGCAGTAGCACTGTCCAAACAGCTCAGTACTTGCTTGCACTAAATCTGGGCTAAGGATTTCTTAAGCGGCGCCATTAGACAGAAAGAGATTCACTTAGCAAGAGCTGCATTGATGGCAGGAGCCCATATTCCATTAGAGAGTTCGACCCATACGTAATTTCCACTCACCGGTCTTCCTCCAGAGCTTGCAGAAACTCGGCACTCTTTGCCTGGCTATAACCAAATGAGCACAAATGCACAATAAATAACGACACTTCAACTACACAATACTAATGGGCTTAGCATAATTAAAGTGATAATGATAGCTACTGAAAAAGCAAGGTATTTCAAAAGTGATTCACACCGTACCCTCACCGTTTGTTATCAAGCAGGAGGTCAGAGATGCGACTCATGATATTGCTCTCTGCCAGACGTACTTTATCCAGTATTTTCAGCCTCTCTGTTTCCTGGGCCTTCTGCTGCTGAGACACACCTAACTCCAACCGTTGCTGCTCCTGAGAGACAGAAAAGCACAGAGACATGTCTTTCTGATAATAAATGGCCATGGTAAATGAAAACGTGTTTTTATTAGCTAGATAAGCGTAGTAACTGTACAACCTACTGTACAGCCTACAGTGCTTAATTTACGCTACTGTTCAAAAGTTTGGCGTCAGTAAGACTTTTTTAAACTTATGCTTTACTTCAGCAAGGACACATTACAATGATCAAAAGTGGCAGTAAAGACATTTATAATGTTACAAAAGATTTCTATTTCAAATAAATGTTTTTTTTTCTTTTCATCAAAGAATCCGGAAAATAGTCTCAGTTTCCACAAAAATATTATAATATTATTATTATTATAAATATTATAACAGCACAACTGTTTTCAACAGTGATAATAATAAGAAATTATTCTTGAGCACCAAATCAGCAATTTAGAATTATTTCTGAAGGATCATGGAACACTGAAGACTTTCTATTAAAATACAAAATAAAAGTTATTTAAAATGTTAATATTTTACAATATAATTGTTTTACTATATTTAAATATATTATAATCAAATAAATGCAGCATTGACCAAACAGACTTCTTTCGGGGGCAAAAAAAAAAACATATTGTACAACAGATTGTTTTTGTAATTCTACAATCAAAATGTTTACCAGTTTGACAGACAGCAAGACATCCTCTTTGCGGGAGTTGTTGAGGAGGAAGAGCTGAGTGTGCTCTCTCTGTTTCTCTTCAAAATCTTTCTCAAAGATCAACTTTTCCAGCTGTTTCTGCTCCTAGTGTAGAAACAGAGAGAATGAGATAAATACTACTTCACTGGATGATCCAATAGTAACAAAAAGAAACCAAATCAAACATACCTTTCTTTTCTCATAGTCCATGAATTTGATCTGCGGTGTCGGATAGAAAATGTTACATTCACAGATCAAATGGCACACAATATTTTTGGGCACTGTATGAAATGGTTGATAAATAGTGATGACTGACCTGCCAGGCTTTCTCCTCACCATCAACACAGTCCACCTCCTGCTTCCCTCTATCATGCTCCAGGACAGGCAGGAGATACTGAGATGGAGGGCAATACTCCAGACCCATCTCTAAATCCCATTAAAATGAATTATGAAATGACTAAACAAACCAGCTGCACAGAATGGCCTTCTACCGTCACACATGGTTACAATAATATTTAACCAGATCTTGTGCATAAGCTGTATTGTACAAAATCTGTATTTATCAGTCTGCAATTACAGAATATTGTGTAAAATATTGCTCAGTGTCTTTGAAAACAGATCTGTACCTGAGCAGAGGTAGCACTGCACTTCCTCTGTGCCGGCAGTGCACACTGACGCAGGTGGATAGCTCATAACCTGTGCGTCTAGGATCAGGCTCTGTCACACCACATAAACACATACAGACATGACAATGTCTTTGCAGTGGTCACATTGTCATTTGAGCTTGTACAAATATGCTCCAACATCTTTATCTTAAACAGGCATAAGATTTAAAATACTCACTTCCAAAGTGCGAACACTGGCCAGTTCTTTAGGTAATTCTCTAATGCTGTTCTCACTTATGTCCAGTGTACGCAGGCTGCTCATGCGTCCCACAGACACAGGAATGACAGTAAGGCTGTTCTCTATACCCATCAAAACATTTTGTTAATTTAAATGGTTTAGGCTTTTTCACCATTTAATTTGATGTAAAATAGTGCCTAAAAGGCCTAAAATAAACTCTTTAACAGAACATTCAAATGACTGTCAAAATCTCTCTGAAACAGGTTAATAACTACCTGGAATCTACTGCAGTGCTCTAATGAAGATGCTAAAAAATATATATTAATAAATACTTTTTTGTGCGCAAAAACATTTTTAAAAAGCACAAAACAAACCTTTCACATTAAGTGTCTGTAGATTCCGTAGATCCCCTATAGAGTCCGGCAGCTGTTTTATGCAATTCTTCTCTACATTCAGCACCTTAGAGAAGAAATCAAGGTTGTATGTAAGCAATAAATAGGATACTAATTATCAATTAAAAATGATTTAAAGAAAATTGTTCCTTGCTCTAGAGGATTTATTTTTTAATTGTTTTTTATGGAAGTTTCTTATACTCACCAAGGCTGTAATATTGTGAAATATTATAAAACAACTGCTTTCTATCATAATATATTTTTAAAAAGTAATTTATTACTGTGATGACAAAGTAGATTTTTTTAACATTCTTCAATGACTCAGTTTTCAGTGTCACAAGATCCTTCTCTAATCATTCTATGCTGATTTGGTGCTCAAGGAACATGTCTTATTATTGTCAATGTTCAAAACAGTTGTGCTGCTTAATATTCCTGTAAAGCCATGATACATTTTTTCAGTATTCTTTGATGAATAGAAAGTTGTATTGCTTTTTACTAGAGGTCTTTCCTATCACTTTTGATCAAATGAATGCACCCTTTGCTGAAACATTTTTTTAGTGACCCCAAACTGTTGACCTACCTAGCGCTACATAGTGATATATGCAGAAATTATGTCAACAGGTCTTTTACGAATCAGCATCAATAACAGTATTCTGTTTTCAAATGCCACGTAAGAAACATCAATTCACATCAGCTTTGTTCATATACAATAAATATACCTGTAAGGACAAAAGCTGCCCAATGTCATCAGGAAGTGATGTGAGCTTATTTTCATGCAGGTCCAACACCTTAAGAATTGACACACAGAGATGTTGTCACTGGACAGAAGTGTAAAATGGTTATTTGCTTGGCACTGTTGTCATCTATCAAATTCTCTCACCTTTAAAGTTGCTAAGGCACCAATGCAGCAACCTTTAGGAACAAGTGACCTCAGGCCATTTCCATGAAGAATTAAGACCTGCAGTTAAAGTGGAAAGTGTTGTGAAAGATCTATTCCGTCTGACCACCAAAAGTTCAGAAGAAGAAAAAAAACACTGCAGTAAATAGACTCACTTTCTTCTGGAGGACTTTACATATGGAGAAGGCACTGGAGGGAACCTGCAGACAAGCATTGTGTAAGAACTGCTGCGATATGGAAGGAATCTCAGATATCTAGCAATAATTCATCCTCTGTCTTAGATGAGCATTTCACCAATATGTAAATAATGATTTTAGGACTTCTGTAATTCACCTCTGTAAGCTCACAGGCAGAAATGTCCAGAATATCATCAGCACCTGCTTCTTTGGCCTGCACAAACCATAAGCATGTGTGTTAAGATTTGATGCAGTGCAATATGACAGTAGACATGCTGCTAAAAAAGAGCCACTTACACTAGAAACTCACCAAGCACAGCTGGTACTCCAGGCGTTTTATGGAATCCTCACTAGGTTTCTTCTTTTTGGAGAACAGAAACATCCTGAAGCCAGTGAGATTTTGTTTGTCTAGTCAAAACCCCACAACATCCACAAAAGCCACTGGATGTTAGTGTGACACTTGACTGACTGTGGTGTTGACAATCCCAAAGAAACAGAAACTAAGTAGGACCGCGTGAACAAAGTCAAGTACGACAAGAAACACACCAACAAACATTTGTTATATTACAAATTATAATCACTCGATATTCATAGCACTATACAAATGCACGTTATTTTTCATTAGACTTTCATGGATACTGAAACCCGGTTTTGAAGCCAAATATCGTGCTATATAAATAAATGTACATACCTTACGCGAAAAGACGAATGTATGCGATTAAACGCTAAACTAGCAAAATTATTTTTTCAAAACATGGGCTCCTTCAAATGTTTCAATATCAATGTATTGTCCGTGTTACCTAGTATACTCCCTCTCTGGCAGTACACACACACCAGGAACAACTTATCAGACGTTGTGAATGACGTAATGCTTCGCCGCAGTGTGAAAGGTTGTTCAGTTCTCGCGATACTTCGTGACCTTTATATACGTGGCGCCACACTTTATCGGCCTTTCCCATTTTCGCTGTGGTGGTGAAGGTGCAACACTTTTCGGTCGTCCCGAATCCGGGTTCATCCGACATCCTCACCAATTCAAATCGAACTGAGCTCAACTTTATCTGATACACCATGCCGCCTAAATTCGACCCCACCGAGATTAAAATCGGTATGTCTGGAATACGGTAACCGTTTTGACAGATTTCTGATTAGGTCTGAGCGGCCTTGTCTGCGTACTGGGACTAATAAATGAGTAGAAAAGTGAAACTACAAAGAAATTAACGGTATAGTTTAGTTGAGCCACTTTAAGCTGAACGTGTACATGCAATAATTGTAGTTTAACCTAGATGCGTGGATTTTGAACGCTTTCTATAGTATCTTTAGGGATACTATCTGCAGCTTCTCCGTACATATGGCGCTTTGAACGATTCGATTTGATGTTTTGAATGTATAAAATACCGGCTTGCTGCTGTGGTTTCACAGCACTCCGGAAGATCGTGCGCCTTCACGTGCTGCTGTAACGGCGTCTCGCACGTGGACCTCACGGAGCTGTAGCGTCCTAACGTTACTCTTTGTGTAACTTGTTTGGGTTCTTTTTGGGCTGTACCGTGAGCCGAACAGGTTTTACAGGAAAACGGAATTATGTATGCCATGTAATGTCAGTATGTGTATATATAGTTGGAAACTAACGTTTTAGCACAACGTGAGCAAAAGTGACCAGCACCGTCAGAGTGTAGCATTTGCAGTGTAACTTGTTTTTACCCATCCAGACTATGTAGATATTTGAACCAGTTCAACTTTAGGGGAGTTGTAACGTTTTAGAAGTTTGTCACTACAAAAACTATGGTTCTCGTAATGGTGCATACCTTAGGGTTAGGCTGAGTAATGAGCCCTTTTTGCCATTCGTGTGATGTAGGGCCCTATGAAGTCTTTTTTTAATTTTTAAAAAAAGTTTTTATTTTTTTCCCAAATAACGGTT